TTCTGAGTCCGGATTCCTTGTGCACAGTCACTCATGCTCTTGTCACTTCTCGCCTGGACTACTGCAACGCTCTCTACATGGAGCACCCGGAGGCTCCAACTGGTCCAGAATGCGGCCGCGCGGGTGATTACGGGAGCAACATGGCACTCCCATATAACACCTCTCCTGCGCGAGCTGCACTGGTTCCTGGTGGTCTTCCAGGTGCACTTCAAGGTGTTGGTTCTCACCTTTAAAGCGCTCCATGGCTTAGGGCCGGGGTATTTACGAGACCGCCTTCTGCTACTGATAACCTCCCACCGGCCAATATGCTCTCACAGAGAGGGCCTCCTCAGGGTGCTGTTGGTCAAGCAATGTCGGCTGGCGACCCCCAGGGGGAGAGCCTTCTCTGTGGGAGCACCGCCCTCTGGAACGAGCTACCTCCCAGAATACGGCTGATCCTGAATCTCCGGACTTTCCGTAAGGCCCTGAAGACGTTTTTATTTCAGCAAGCCGGCCTGGCCTGAATAGGTTTTACGGGTTAGTTTTTTAATTGTATAGCTTGGGGTTTTAAATTGGGAGGCCGATTAATATAATTTATTTTTAGTTATCTTAACTTTTATATTGTATGTTATTTTAATTTTTGGCTGTTCACCGCCCTGAATCCCTTCGGGGAGAAGGGCGGGATATAAATTCAATTAATAATAATAATAATAATAATAATAATAATAATAATAATAATAATAAAGGGTGGCTCTTTTATTGGTGTTACTCTTGGAAATAGATGCTGAGAACAACTTTCAAATCTTCCTCTCTGCTGTATTTGTCTTGCCATGCCATGCTTAGAACTCTGCAGAGATGTACTGTCTATATAAGACAATTAATTAAGCTCTAAGAGAGATGGGCCGTAAGAAGTGTGGAAAATAAGTATAAACAAGTATTACTTGGATCTACTAAAAAAAACTAAAATACAAACACATTTATTAAATTAACATTTCATCTCATGGAAAATTATCATTAAAATCCAAAGCAAATAGATTTATTTATCTCTGCTCTTATTTATTACTAAAAATTAGTATGATGGAGGCAAAACCTCTGGGGAATAATAGCCCATCGGTTAATTGATTTAACAATTAAAAAGAAATTGGGCTATGCAATCTTGTAACAAGGATCTAAACCTTGTTTTGGAAACAAGGTTTCCAAAAAACCACTGAGATTACTGCATCACATTACGGCTGTGAACATAAATTCTACTCATGTACACAACAAGATTCCTCACAAGTAGAAAGACCTTCAGTTTTAAGTTTTATATTTATGTGGACAAACATATATTTTGTAGTGCAAACATCGATACTAAGAAATTTTCAAAAGTAACCATACAATAATTCTTAATGGAAAACTTACAATCTTGTAATAAAAATACATTACAGACTGGCATAGGTAGTGTTCAATGTATGACCGATCAGTTAGGACTGTTAAAAGTTACAATGGTACTTTCAACCCAGTTCTAAAGTTCCAACAGTTGACACTTCCAGGTTACGTGACCACATATCAGGCATTTGACAACTGGGTCATATTTATGACTGCTTTATGAAGTACCCCATAGTCACATGATTGCGATTTGACATTTTTGCTGAATACTGGCTGGGCAATGATAATTTGCTTTACAACCATCACAACTTAAGGTCCTAAGAGGCACTTAAGGTCCACTATGGTCATAAGGTGAGGACTACTTGTATATGAAGAAGTGCTACACTGCAAGATTAAATTCCTGGTAGTAACTGATAACTAATAAAGAACATCCTGCTTACAGGTACCGGTACTTCTTTTGGCCAGTTTCCTGCCAAACAACTCTATTGACCAACTAAGTCAACAAATATTTAATAAGCAATATTAGATAAATTTCTCCTATAAATTTAGCCACTGAACAGAAAGAAGTAATCTTGCTCCCATCTGCAACAACTGTATGTACATAGGAAATAAATTTAGAAACAAATCCTTTTCATGTTGTCAGAGGCAGCATTTGAAGATACTTGAAGTTACCCTATGTTGAAATCTGGGTGGGAGGGAGGTGTAATGTAAATTAATTCCTGCTGCAAACATTCAGCTGAACTGAGGAAGATCTTTAATTACACTAAAATTAAACTACTGACTTGGCGACTGGAAATATACTTTAAATTTAGCAGATTATGCTCCAAATCTGAACTCCCAGATAAGAAGCATGGAGGGTGATGAATGAAATGTGAAATGGAATCTGGGACACAGAAAAGATATCAGAATAACCTCCTACAAAAACTGCTTTATTGATTCAATTTATACAGCACTTTGCAGCTTCCAGCTTTATCTGATCGTTTGAAATTTCTTATAGATGACTTAATTCTTTGAATTCATATATTCCAAACTGAATCTATCTGGCATAAATAGGTTTTTGTCTCTTCTCTATGTATTGTTTGACTATCTTACCTTATTTGCTACTATATACTCATTTATATATTCAATATTCAATAACCATGTATACAGGAGCTACCATTTCCATCTGTTCTGCTCCATTCATTCACCCTGATCTGCACAGCATTCTAAAAGGAAGCACCATAAAGTGTCATATTCCAATGTTCTTCTGACATTTGAGTACATTCCATATGCTTTTAGGTATAAGGATAATACATTTGGGGCTTTGCACATTATTCAATTAAATTATGTTACCTTGTCACTACCAAAAACATTTATTTTTGCTTTTGTTTGCAGTTGTTTGTTATATTTGTATATAATAATGGCATTCAACCAAACTCTAATTATGTTCTTGTAATGCCAGCCTCTGCCTTTATTTAATAATTAATAATTACCAGCTTCACCAATAACCATTTTGTCGCACAAAGTGCACAAAAGACTAACTTAACATTTGACTTAGCAACAAATTAAGCTATAATAAATGAAATTTAAGGAGTACAGAGTATCTATATCTGTCCTCGCTGGCGTCTACTTAAATAAAAACATTATGTAACTTTCATAAAGAAAGAAACATCATGTAACTTTTACAAACGTAACTTATGAGAAAGCATACTTTCCTTCAACTAGTTTAGTTGGATGTTGGATGCGGAAATCTTCCTGGAGAAGAGGATATCTTGAGATAATCCATGTATACTCCAGGCAGCCAATCTTCATATGTATGAATTTGGTTTTTGCTCTTGGTTTATGAGTTGAGCAGCTGGGAATTGAGGGAGAAACAAGCTCAATTTGATTGAGACTCATTTCTTAACCATTTTGGCTTTGCTTTTTATTGCCTTGAAAATATTAAGACCCTTGGCAATGGAAAATTATGTGGTAATTACCAGGTGACTCACCTTTTCCTTAAAGAAATAATTTTTAAATATACTTTTGAAGTTTGGGAATATTATTTTTTGGATTAAACAGCAAAAAGGAACTGATAGTGTGGGTTTTTAAGGATTCAGATGGACTACAATTTTAAATTAATTAGATGAAACCTTCCCATTGGAAACTATGATTGTTTGGGTTCTTTAGAAAAAAAACCACAATAGGATAGGGTTTTGACATTCAGACACTAAAGGGAGCTAGAAAATAATAAACAGTCCAATTAAGGGAGAAGGAAACTTAAGTTTAATAAAAATGGAGCAAAATACTTTAACAATGGAATATCTGGTGGATATTTGAACAACAGTCTTCAATGTTATCTGATACAACAGTGTGTTAATGAAGTTACAGAAAAACTATACCATATCAGTCTGAAATTATTTTGGATATGGATTTAAATGTGACACGTAATGAGGATATGGAAAAGATGTATTGGATATATAAATGAAACCAGTTAATATTTCATTGCTTAAAGGAAATATACCAAATAAGAAAAGTGATGTGGATAACTTTGGATAGCCATAAAAATGCAATTTGGCATGAATTGTCTGACACCAGGGGACTGAAAACTGTCAATCATAATTACGAGGACCAAGTTGGTTGCCAAAAAAAAAAAAAAAAATCTTATGCAGACAGGAGAAGATGAAAGCCTAGGCAGAAGTTTCTATTTTAAATAGGTCAGCTTTGCAATGAAGAAAATGTTCAGAATGAAGTAAATTCTTGAAAAATTGCTGTCAAAAATTTGGATCAAATTTTTTCCAAAGAAATGAGCTCCAAAAAAGAAGCTGGGCTTAAATCATATCCAAGGAGATTTTAATCATTGCATTTATATGCTGAGATTCTTTGGAGAAACAGAAGCCATGTAAAGCCAACACTGATTTTGTGTGTGTGTGCATTTAAAGTAACATAGTCAGTATGAAATTTACAGTTGCTCATAGCATGGAAAACGATCTCTAGATATTTAAGTCTTGACTTGCTCTTTTAAATGGTTATTTAATTGCTAGACATGTGCCATTAGGGCACTTAGCAAAAACAATGATTTTGGTTTTAAAGTAATTAATTTCTAGCTGTTATTTTTTGAGTGCTTAGCCATATTCAAAGCAACCCTTTCAGGACAATTATGTTGGATAAAGCAGCATGACATCATCTGCATACCGAAGAACAGAAATCTCTTTATTTCCCTGTTTTGACAGATGAAGAGATGGGCTATTCTGTTTGTCTATAAGAGTTAATTTCTTTAGTCCAGTGTCCTTGGACATTATATCACACCTGGGAGTGATATATCATCTGGGAGTTTTTACACAACTTATACATAAGCAAAAATAATCAATTGAAGAAGAGTTCAATTTCTTTCATAGTTTGGATCCAAAGATGAAATCAAAAGCATATCTAAATGCTATGTGTATAGAGTGATATGTGAGTTCTGGAGGAGTAATTTTTAACTAAACACTATGTTTTTATAGGGGAAAATGGGAAGAGTGAGTTAAGTCCTTGAAAATGGTGGTTTTTAAAAAATAAATAAAATAAATATATAAAACACTAAAAATGAGTCTTTTCTCTCTATAAAAGAAAAGATCAGCCTATGCCAGCAAGAACAATCTTGCCTCTGTTTTCTCTCTCTAGGCATCCTTATTTCTTTCTTGGCCGTGGCTTACCTCTCCTTGCCAGATGGGATTGACAGTGTTACACATAATCTTGGATCTTTTTTCCTGTCCATGGTGTGGAAGAGCTGGGAAGATGCTATGCTTTCCAGGCTGGATTGAAATTTTAAGGTAAGGATCCGGATTGAAGAACATGCCTTTCTTCAAACCAAAAGCTTGGAAATCTGCAAAATGTTAGATATCCATATTAGCATTATTTATATTCTGTTAAACTATAGTCATATTTATAATTTGAAATTTTTAATTGTGTATCAAATTAAATAAATATAGGTGGTCAATGTTTAGTGATATAATTGGGGTTGGCAACTCAGTCATTGAGTGAAGCGGTCACTAAGTGAAACCACAACTGTGCTTATGACCTACAAAGGTTTTACATCTGAGGATTGATCATAAAATTACTTTTTCATCATTGTTGCTAAATGAAGACTTTCTCTAAGAATAGAATAGAATAGAATAGAATAGAATAGAATAGAATAGAATAGAATAGAATAGAATAGAATAGAATAGAATAGAATAGAATACTGTATTGGCCAAGTGTGATTGAACACACAAGGAATTTGTCTCCAGTACATAAGTTCTTACCGGCAATAAAAAACAGCAAAATAATATAATCATAAGATACCAATAAGAGAAAGTAGTAAAAATGAGAAGGATAATAATAATATAGCCTTACTAAATGGGAAATATCCTTAGACATAAGACAGTGCTGTGGGAATTATGTGATAGCACGAGACAAAAATTGTCTTTGTGTCTAGTTGTTTTGGTATGAATCCTGAAGGGAAGAGATGAAACAGATGAAGTTTATGTCTAGGATGTGAGGGGTCTGTAGCTATTTTGTTAGCCCTCTTCATGACACATACAGTATACAGGTCCTCAATGGAAGGCAGGCTGGTTGAAATTGTTTTTTCTGCAGTCCTAACTTTCCACTGAAGTCTGTACCTGCCCTGTTTGATTATTGTACCAAACCAGACAGTTATAGAAGAACAAATGACAGAATCAATAATTTCTCTGTAGAACTGTATCAACAGTTTTGATAACTAAACAAGATTCAAAACCAGTGAATTAAGTTTTGATTATTGCTCTGTGATGTAACTGAATAAAAGCACATTCAAAATCATGGTAGCATTCAAAATATACTCAATCAGGGCAAATGGTCTGATGATAATAGATGGGGGCAAAGACGCTTCAAATGCTGAAATAAAAAAAAGAATGTGGCAGCCAAGGATGAAGGTATGTAAGAAAAGAGAAAGAAGTTTATGTTCAGTAATACAAATCCAGAATAAAAAATATTTTGAGAAACTGAATCCTGAAAAATCTAAAAAAATTTCTATGACTTCTTGAATAGCTTGTACATTACATAACATAGATAAATTTTTGGAGGTTAATCTATTAAATTGATGCAGATAGAGACACAATAATAATTAACACACAGAGAGACACACATATGTATGTATTATGCATGTATGTTTATTTGGAGATAGAGCAAGTTACTGTTTTCTAATATAATTGTGTATAGCAGAACAGTGACAGTGGCATAATTCAGGAAAATAACTTTTAGACACAGACAAAAAACCCTGAGACTACAACCCCCACTATTTCTAATCAGCATATCTATTTCAGAAGTTATTCAACATAAAAGACAATTCCAAATGGATGAAGTTGGGCTTTATATTGACTAATTAACTTGTATGAAGTTAAGGGAGCTAATTATAAAGAATAATATACAATAATTAACTATAAAATATGTATAACAACATGACTAATACAAAGAGCATTATTTTATTAAAGGTTTCAGTAATATTTTTGTCATAACACTTAAAGCTTTACAAGACTGGCCTAATCTGAATACAATAATCCCAGAGCAAAATCCCTCTCTTCGTAAATAGGTTGTCACCTATCTACGAAGAAGAGAGCATGTGGAGTTTACAATGTAACAACACTAATTACTAAAATAAGAGGAATGTCTTCAAAATACAAATATACTTCTTTGGGGAAAGTGAACAACAAATTAACCTTGGGATCCTGGTGATATTTCACTTATGTATTAAAAAGAAGGAAATATTTTAATGTTTTAATGCTATTGCTAACGGACATGGCTGTTTTTAACTGTTTCCAGAAATAATAAAACAATTATAATTAAGTGGTTTTTAAGCCAGGAAAAAGTGCTGAGAAGAATGAAGGCACATAGGTGGATCTTTAAAGTAATTTTGAAAACCTGCATTCCAAGAAGATGCAGCAATTTCTTATTAAGAAGGAAATACTCTGGCTTCCCTGAAAGGCAGTTTATCCGCCACCATTATTTTTTGCTCCTCAAAAGCTCAGCTAGAAATGAGACTCACCAGACAAATAAAATTAATGAAAGAGAGGATGTGTTTCTTAGCAGACAAAATCTAATGGGATAGAAAGCAGGAAAATCACTGTCTTAGACCAATCTCCCAAAGAGATTTGCTGTGGAGGAAAAAAAGGGGAAGATTTATCTGCAATACAAATATATTAAATAATGAGCCCTACTTTAAATATTATAGAAAAGCCAAGTGAACAGATTTTAATGACAAGGCTTTCCTTGAGCCATAAATGTTTTGTCTAACAATGTGACTTTTTTTACTATTAATTAACATTTATTATAATAATTATTTTCTACTCTTTCAAATATTTTAAAGCCACTATTATGTGGCTCCTGATCAGTTAAAAGGGAATGTTTTTCAATAATTTAAATCTATCATAACGCTTTATCTAGTGACATCTCAAAGAATACGATAGTTTACTGTATTTGCTCATTTTTACGATGCCTATAAGCCAGTGGTGAAATGTAAAATTTGTTACTACTGGTTCTGTGGGCGTGGCTTGTGTGTCTGTGTGGGGGTAATGTAACTGTGTGGGCGTGGCCAACTTTTTTTTTTTAACTTTTAAAAGCATTTTTTCTACAACCTCTTCAGCCGAAGAGGTTGCAGAAAAAAATGCTTTTAAAAGCGTCTGATGATCAGGCAACTCAGCTGGGATCGTCAGAGGCTTTTAAAAGCATTTTTTTTCTACAACCACTTCAGCCGGACGATCATCAGAGACTTTTTTTTTACTTTTAAAAGCATTTTTTTGGCTGAAGAGGTTGTAGAAAAAATGCTTTTAAAAAACAGCCTCTGATGATCACGTGGTTCAGCTGGGCATGAGGGGAAGGGACACAGGGATTTTTGCTACCAGTTCTCCAAACCACCCACCTCCATCGCTACCGGATCAGACGATCCGGTCCGAACTGGGAGCATTTCACCCCTGCTATAAACACATGTCTTTAGTATTTTATTTGACAGTTTCCAAGGCAGTGATAAATGAATTAATATTAGAGCAAGGAGACACAATAAGAAGATTGGTACAATAAAGAATAAAATAAAATATCTAAATTATGGTCCACGGAGGTTGACTGGCAAGAACCGATACTGCTGTATACTGAAAAAATATTGGCAGCAACATGATTTTAAAATTCTAGTATGTACTAACTATGCCTCTTCCTTTCTCCTAAGAAGACAATGATCCTCCATGTAAAACTGAACAATGCTTATTTTACTAATCTTGATGAGAAATATTAAAATATTTCTTCCTCTTTAATATATAACTGAATATATAACTGAGATATTACCAGGACCCCAAGTCAGAGGTGGTATTCAGCCAGTTCTCACCATTTCGTGCGAACTGTTGGAGGAAATTTGGCCAAGGTCACTGAACCGGTAGCGATGGCCGGCTGGCCACACTCCCGAACTGGTCCCCTGGTTACTGCTAGCTCTTCCCACCCGTCATGTTCATCACCGCCATGTTCTTCAAGCATGCGCATTCCATTGCCTTGCAAGTCCAATGGGATGCATATGCGCGAAGAAAATGGCAGCGACGGCAGCAGCTTTTTCCATGACCTCTGGTTCTTTTCGATGGCCTGCAGCCAAAGGAGGCTTCTTTGCCAGCTGCTTTCCAGCAGCAGTGGCTGGCTGGGGGCCACCAAAAACTCTGGTCAGATTGCCTTCCGGACTCTGGACCAGCCACTGTGGAAGGTAAGCAGCCTGAACAAAGAGATGGTGGGGGGGGGAGGAGGAGGCGGAGCTAGGACCGAGGCCATTAAAGGAGGGTAAATGGGGGTGACTGGCGAAGGTAGATACGTGGAAATTCCAAAAATTTTCCTACCTTTTCCAGTGGGTGTAGCTAGGTGGGGGGATCATGTGACTGAGTGGGCATGGCCAACTTGACATCACTCACTCACGCCCGCTCAGTCTCATGCTCCCCACCTAGCCATGCCCACTGAACTGGTAGTAAAAATTTTTGAAACTCACCATTGCCCGAAGTTTAATTTATTGTCTTTCTTTGCACAGAACTACTTTGCGTCTTGAAGACTTTCTCTGGATTTTTTTTTTTAAAAAACTTTCCTCTTATTTTAGTAAACAATGTTGTTACAGTGTAAATTAATCATTCTGCAAGGTGCTCATTTTGCCGCATCCTATCTATTCCAGGTGCTTTCTTATTCGTAGATAGGTGACAATAAAAGAGAGGAGTTTACCTTTGGAATATTGTATTCATATTAGTCCAATTTTATTGAGTTTAGGTGTCATGACAAAAAAAAAAATCACTGGAACTTTTAATAAGATAATGCATGCTACAGAAAAACATACCTGAAAGGGAGAAACTGATCAGCCTTCTGCTTCCATGCCCCTGGCCTGAATCTTCACTAGTGATGTTTTTAAAAATCTGTAATGAAGAGAAAAATATCAAAAACATCAATACATTTTCTAGAGTAATATTAACAACTTAATCCAAGAAGCATAATAAAGGAGAAATCAATTATAAGCATTCATTAAGCAACTATTGATTAAAACACTTCTGATAAATCCATGTTTTCAATGTAAAAAGGCTACAGGGGAGCTTCATCCCAAAGAAGTTTAGGAGGCAAGACAAAGAATTACTATAATTTGATGCTTTTGGAGAAGGAACTTTCTCTTATCTTTACAAATCACAATTACTTATTACAATAAGTTAAATCACTGCCATACAGATGATGATTTTGTACTCATTACTAGGCTTGAGAACAATGAAATGAAATGAAATATAATCTCCTGTATGTCAAACGAAATACCTAAATACCATAAAAATTAAAATGAAGTTTACTGCACCCAGTTGCATATCCTAAGAAATTTTTCTTATTATTTGTGCATAAAATGCCAGTTTTACACAGTTCTAGCTGTCCAGCTTCTGATGATCTGAACAGGAAAGTTGTAGGTAATTCCAACAAAAGCATATCTCTAGCCTGAGATGTCATCAATTTAATAGGCAACTTTCAGGGGAAAAAAAAGAAAGGCATTCCATTGTCAAACCAGCAATTTAACTGAACATTACCTATTAGGATAGTGTTCCAGATTTCACTGGATTTGCTTTGCAATTTGTACCACATGCTGTTATTATTTGTTCTCAACAGGCCTCCTTGTATAGCATTTTCTTGTGTGTGTTTTTCCCCCCAACCATCCAATAAAGTGCAAATAAGCCCATTATCAAAACTAAAACTACAAAACTACAAAAGGAATAAGCTGCCGCTCACAAAAGCTTCTGCCTTTTAATAATATTCAGAAAAAATACTACCAGATTCCTTCTAATTTTGTTTGCCACCATAGTCTAAGAATGTTATGCTGCTATAATGTTTATAAAATCTCATTACCTATTTTGGCCACACTTTCTCTTACAATGATGTCCACTCTAAGTAGGTATCAAGTTGGATCATGTTCTACTATAACCAAGCATTTTTCTCATATTCTTTGGAAGGCCAATGACAATTATCACTGAAATAGGTTTTGTGTCAACCACATTTTTTACTTCTTGTGACTAGAGAATTTCAGCAGGTGGCAGCATTTCTTCTCTAAGCAGGGTCAGCCCTAATTTGTATTTTAGGAGGGAATTCCACAAAATTCCACCTGCGGTTTCTAGGCTTATCACCTTGACTGAGTAATTTGGGGGGGTGGGGGGAGAATCATGAAAAGGGATAGTGACAAACACTTTAATTACGCTGGTAAGAAAACCCCATGAACATAAACACCAGGAACTAAGCTCTCAACTCAAGGGCATTTTCACCTTTAGTCTATAAGTAATCAAGATGCAAATGATTCATCTAAATTTTAAATCAAAGAAAAAAAAACAGTTTTGGTGGTATTTTAAAACATTAAAAAAATAAAGAGATCTTTTTTCTAGAGCAGTTCTGCATTAATAATTTGACAGAAATATTGTTCAGTGTTGGGAAAGGAAGACAACACACTTCATTTTACTTGGTTTGAAGTCAAAGTAAGATTTGAAACTAATAATACTCAGAATTCTCTTTCATTAATCTTATGCCTTTAGCAATACATACATTATGTTGTATGGTTTATTAATATCTACATTACATGTTGTGAGGATTTGTTACATTTATTCTTTATAGGTACATTGTTTCTGTATTTATTATTTCAATCTCCTTACAAATGAAATTTTGTTTTGCTAGGCCATCTGACCGATGTGTATTCTGAGAATATGAAATTTGCAATTCTGAAAATAACATAAACTTTAATTCCTCAAACTATATGGAGGGATTTTCCAGCAGGCTGTAAGAAAGACTGATGCATCTTGAAGTTTCATATATGAACTTAATATATGAGATTAAGGTACATATCCACTCTGTAGCAATCTCACCATCAGTTATAAATCTATTTTGTACTTCTAAATGCAATATGTGTTAGAGTTGACATTTACAGCAGAGAAATCTTAGGAACATGATTGTTGCCTTATAAACAGAGCACCATTCAGACTACGCATAGGGGAGGTCATAACTTCAAGAGAAAATAATTAGTTGAGTTATGCCACTTCTGATCTGTAAGAATCTCTTACCTAACCATTATTTGGAAGATAATTTGTGCTTCCTTTCAGAAATTTCATAAATGTTGCAATCATGAATCTCTGCTATAAACTACAAAAGGAATTGCCAGTGACTTTTCTCATTTCAGGGCATTACAGCATTTATTGAAATATAGACTATGTTCACTTCAAGCAGTGTGAAGGATATATCTGAATCACCTATTGTATATTCAGTTTCACAACTGAGAATAGAAAATCTAACCTACTCAGCTCTGTAATCCTTCTAAGTTGATTCAAAGTGTAAATAGAAAATGTACTAGGGTCTTGTCTCTTCCGAGCAGTAATAATCTGATCTGAATTAGAGCTGTTGTTTATGGTGGCTACAATTCCTCAACCACTTCTATAAAGAAATTTCCACCCAACCCCCCCCCCCCAGCCAATGAGCGTGTCCTCCTGTCAGCCCTGGAGGCCATCTTTTTTTTTGGATCTTCAGGGCTGCCACACTTGTATAGGCATGCTGTGGGAACTGGGAGGGAGGTTGGATGGCGACAGGGTGAGTTGTAAAGCCATAATAACAGTCTGTCACTGGGAGTCAAGGATGTTCAGCCTGCACCAGGAAAAGCATGACTGGGAAACAACTCCAGTTAGGATGGTGACATGATTGGACCATGTGATGGACATGTGGGTGCAGGGAAGGGACTCTGACTTTCCTTTGGGTGGGGAAAACTCAGGAGACTTTCAGATTCATGTTTTCCCAGATGTGTCAATATGACATCTCTAATAAAATGGAACTTTGAGGAAATGCCTGCCTCAGAGTCTTACTTTGTTGAGAGTGATACTTGGAACCCTGACATTAACCCAAATCTCCTTTAAAAGATCAACCCATGGTTATGTCCATGGTCCTGAGACCTGGGCGCTGGGCACTAGCCGAATTGCCAGGCGGCATAAAGACTCAAGGAAGATGGAGGAGTGACACTGATTTACCTAGTAGACTTTCTTGAAAAGAAGAAATATGTAAGAAATTAAAGGGAAGTCAAATGAGAGTCATGAAACTATTGATTTCTGTCCATTTTAAATATTCTATGCATGAGACGTTAGTTACAGAATAAAAGAATCATTGAATCAATTTCAGAACATATGTTTATGCATTTGAATATTAAGACTAAATTATAGTCTCCTGCTCCCCCCGCCCCCCCCCTACATAATTTGGAATTATGTACTTCAGATTTTCTAAAGGATGGGTTTATTAATTTAGATGTTTATTTAAACTCATTCAGAGGACTGAAAATTTATTGTTTTCTGAGCATTCCCAAATTCCCTGCAAAATTAATTGTATTCAATAACATATCATCAATTCCCTTTAGAATTTATTCAACTGAACAAAACAGTATGAGATAAAAAGTGTGACAAGGAAAAGTATATGTAGTTCCCATCTTCAAAAATGGGGAAAAAATAGATCCAGGAAACCACAGATTTATCAGCCTGACCTCAATACCTGGGAAGATTCTGGAAAAGTTATCAAGGAACAAATCAGCAAACACCTAGAGACAAACAAAGTCATAACCAAAAGCCAACATGGCTTTGTCAAAAGCAGATCATGTCAGAAAAATCTTACTGCATTCTATGACAAGATGACAAAATTAGTGGACTAGAGGAATGCTATGGATATAATTTACTTGATATTTCAGCAAGGCATTTGACAAAGTAGACCACAATCTTCTACTTGATTAGAAAAATGTGGATTAGACAACATCACGACCAGATGGATTCATAACTGGCTGACCAACTGCACTCAATGAGTAGTCCTCAATGAAACTGCATCTACATGAAGGGATGTATGCAGTGGGATACCCCAAGACACTATTTTAGGCCCAGTACTCTTCAACATCTTCATCAATGATTTGGACAAGGGAATAGATGGGGAACTCATTAAATTTGCAAATGACACCGAGCTGTCAGGAATAGCCAACACTCCAGAAGATAGGCTTAAGATTCAGAAGGATCTTGACAGACTTGAACATTGGGCTCTATCTAACAAGATGAAATTCAATGGTGAAAAAAGTAAGGTTCTACATTTGGGCAAGAAAAACAAAATACACAAGTACAGTATAAGTGGTACCTCACTTTCAATGCTGCATCCAATTCTGGCCACCACAATGTAAAAAAGGTGTGGAGACTCTAGAAAGAGTGAAGAAAAGAGCAGCAAAGATGATTAGGGGACTGGAGGCTAAAACATATAAAGAACAGTTGCTGGAATTGGATATGTCTAGTTTAATGAAAAGAAGGTCTAGGGGTGACATGATAGCAGTGTTCTGATATCTGAAGGGTTGCCACAAAGAAGAGGGTGTCAAGCTATTCTCCAAAGCACCTGAGAGCAGGGCAAGAAGCAATGGATGGAAACTTATCAAGGAGAGAAGCAACCTAGAACTAAGAAGAAATTTCCTGGCAGTTTGAACAATTAACCAGTGGAACAACTTGCCTCCAGAAGTTGTGAATTCTCCAACATTGAAAGTTTTTAAGAGATTTGGAATTTCTCTCTGGCAATCCATTGTACAGAACTGTCAGCCCTTACTCTCTATAAGAACAGTAAAAAGTGCCTTGGAGAATCACTGAAGAGTTCTTTAAAAATCATTATAATAGTGTAGCTGATTTTTAAATTAAAATATACCAAAAATATCATGTGATGTACCATTTAACTTTAATACCAATGTCCTTTAGAAATCTCACAGCATGAACATAATTTGACATATTTTCCTAAAGGAATAAAATTTTTATACTGTACTCCTTTATTTATTTCTTGTGCCTTAGTAAAATTGTATGTGTCTACATACCATTAGAACTCTCGTATCTGTTTATAAACTTCAGTTGGACAAAAT